GGTGTAGGTGTAGGTGTGGTGTGGTGTAGGTGTAGGTGCAGTGCAGTGCAGGTGTAGGTGTAGGTGTATGAAGATATTTAATTTTGTTGTTTTTGTATCTAGAGCATTAATTAAGATATTTGCCTGAGGAGGCAATACTTTCTTGTAACACATCTATTTAGTGCTTACTTACATAAATTGCATACGTCACAATAACGTCTTTGACAAACAGTGCCGTTGACAAATGTATAACACCAGGGCTGAAGGAGAGCTCCGTTGGGGTTTCTACAGCTACTTCCGCTTTCTAACAGGGAAATCCCGCTCAATCTGTAGTCAATTTTATAATGTAAATATTTAAATACAGCAAAAGTGACAAGTTTCACTAGCTGTTGTATAGGTAAATAGTTACAAACATGGATTCAAATGTACACTTACACATATAGACACATACAGATATTATCTGATCATTGATTACAGTGGCGTAAAGAGGTCGGGTGTCACCCGGTGCGGCACTTAATGGTGTCACCCCCCCCCCCCCCCCCAGAGGCATAGAGACCCTTCCCAGGGACAAACTTTCAAATTTTCGATTTGTACCCCCTCCCCCCCTCCAAATTACGATTTGCACCCCCCCCCCTCGAGTTTTTCTCTATATGTTTTGCTATTTTTTGCCTTGGTGTCACCCCCCTAAATGGTGTCACCCGGTGCGGTCCGCACCCCCTGCCCCCCTTCTCGCTACGCCCTGATTGATTACTTATTAAACAAAAAACATAGCAGCTTACCCATCAAAGGGGAAGTCATCACAAGATGTGGCCTTCTCCCAAGGGACGCAAGGCTCGAAAGTTTCTGTATAAGATCTGTCGCCGTAGTAGTCTGCCCCTCTAGTGTTTACATCGTAGCACATATTTTCAACTAGAACAGAAATAAACGAAATACGGTGCTTATCTTGTGTGGATAGGGTTAAAATCTAATGGGTTTGGACTATAACTCGTTAGCTTCATCCGTAGCCTTCATAACTCTTAATAAGTATGCATGTCTTTTACTCGAAACACAACCAAGACAATAAACGAAATAATATTGGCACAGTATGCATATATATATATTAAAATCAAACACACACACAAACATATATATATATACATATATATATATATATATATATATATATATATATATATATATATATATATATATATATATATATATATATATATATATATATAAACAAAGAGAATATTTATTTATATATTCACCTAGTACAACATCTACCTTGAAGTTAATTCCCATGTTGGTTGTTGTCTCCCATGAAGACCAGTATTCTAGAGACAAGTAGTCTCCCTCACTCACCAACTGGTACGGCTTGAAGTTGTTGTTGATCCTGAAAAATTGTTTTCGAAATATTTTTTTTTAAACGGCATTTTCGTTTTCAAATGCAATATATTATAAGAAGCAATGAAAAATAAACTACACATTATTAAATATAACATATAAAATTGTTGTTAGAAAATAAGTTTGCGTATGCAAGACATGTATATTAGCAAGTATCATTTAGTTACATACAAGTAAATGAGACAAATATACTAAAATAATTTTTATTTGATTACAACACACTCGTCTTTAAATTGTATTGTGAGTACATGTTGTCACAATCACACATAGTACACATTCCTAATATAACTGCACGAACATGACAGGGTCGTAGCATGACGTCACGAGCATGACAGGTCGTAGCATGACGTCACAAACACTCACTCGACAGGGACCTAGCCTGACGTCACACACACTTACATAACCGGGTCCTGCCACTTGTGAAAACGTTTGACTAGAAACAGGTCGTTGACGTGTGGGTCGAACGTGTTCAATGTCAGACGCAGTTTGGAACCAGCAGGTACCTAAAAGACGTGATTACAGAAATGGACTTTCACAATATTCAAGAGAGTCGAATGATGTCCTGTTGCATTAACTATTCCATTTTTTAGAAGCAATGGTTAGTGTATACGAAAACTCTTCCCGGTGTAAAAAAAAAAAGAAAGTCTTAGGCCTATATGTAAACAAACTAACAGTGTAATACATTGAGGCCAGTAATGAATTCTTGCATTATGATAACGAACAGTCTTTTATTTGGACAACGAATAGCATCTTATTTTAAGACAACAATGTCTTTGATTGTAACAACAACAAAAAATATATCCATTGAGGCAACGAACTATGTCTCGTATAATGAACAAATAAAAAACAATAAACGCAAATATTTATTGAAGAACCTAACACATTTTAAAATTGAAATAAAAAGTTGTATAACATTAAACCAAAGAACAAAATCTCTAAGTGAGGCAAGAAATCATTTAACCCAAACATCGAACACATACATAAATTAAGACAGCAAAAAAGTCTTACATTGAAAGTCATTGAGACACGAAACACAATCTTTTAATGTAAGAACAAAATATTACATTGAAATAACCAACAAAACCTGACAATGAAAAAAATTAACAATGACATACATTAAAAGGGTCTACGACAAATTTCCGGCATTCGGGCAAACGGCATTCGTGCAATTGTCTTTCGGAAAAACGTACGGCTCCCACATTGAAACAACAAAAAAAACCCTGACAGTTAGACAACGTACGATGAATTACATTGGAACTATCTAAATCTGACAACGAAACAACGAACGATGACATTACATTAAAACAACCAACACAGCAAGCCTGCAAAAGATACAACGAACGATGGCATTACATTGAAACAACGGAGCAAGCCTGACAAAAGATACAACGAACAATGACATTACAATAAAACAACCAACAAAGCAAGCCTGACAAAAGATACAACGAACGATGGCATTACATTAAACAACAGAGAAAGCCTGACAAAAGATACAACGAACGATGGCATTACATTAAACAACAGAGAAAGCCTGACAAAAGATACAACGAACAATGACATTACAATGAAACAACCAACAAAGCAAGCCTGACAAAAGATACAACGAACGATGGCATTACATTAAACAACAGAGAAAGCCTGACAAAAGATACAACGAACAATGACATTACAATGAAACAACCAACAAAGCAAGTCTGACAAAAGATACAACGAACGATGACTTACATTGAAACAAAAGAGCAAGCCTGACAAAAGATACAACGAGTGATGACTTACATTGAAATTGTAAAAACATCTCCTGTCTGGCTCTCTCTGGGTACCGAACCCAGGTGTTTTGATAGTCACTGCTAGATTCTTGCTATTAAGATTTACAACCTGGCTGCAGCCTTAGAAAGTGAGAAAATAAGATAGAAAAACTTAAAATTAGAAGTCACTTTAATTGTCGTAACAAAGAATTTTAAATCACTGATATATTTAAATTATAAATGATGGAATCATTAAATTTGTCAAAACAAAACTTTTGGAAATAGTAAAATAGTGGAAACAAAAATAATTGAATCTCTAAAATGTATTAACCTAAAATTTTGGAATTTTACAAATTTGTCTGAACACTAATTACATAGTCATGAAAATTTTAGAAACAAAATCTGTAAAGTAAAAAACAACGTTAACACGAAAAATATGAGCAAATTAAAATTGTTGAAACACATAATGTTGGCCATAAAATCACAAGTTGTGAAATTACAGACACTTTTTTCCCCTTTATTGTTATTATCAAATAACGAGCGTCTAAAGCTTACCGTAGATAGGAGGCTGGTAATGGCACATGTAGTGGAGAAATGACGTCCGGAAATAAAATCCGACGGGCGGAACGGCACCAAACGCTGACGAGTTAGTAGTCCATAATGTCAACTTAGAGTAGGTGCTTTTCATTCCTGAAAAAAGGAATGTTTTTGTATAGGAAATAGTGCATTCTTGGTAATTAGTCGGATTAATCTAATCGGTAAATCTAGGACATTATTTTATGCACGTAGAACATGATTGCAAAAAAATAGAAGAAGAGATATATTTCAATGTAAGTAGCCTACTAACTATATTATGTAATATTTTTCATTGAAAAATAAATAAACTGAGCAATTAAGTAGGAGTATATTGAAATAGAGTTGATGTAAATGTATACACACTATTTAACTTCCAACAACCGCTTTTGGTAAATACCAATGTATATGCTCCCAAAATATTTCTGGCTAAAATTTAAGTTCACACAACAATTCTGACTAAACTTCTCACCAAATTTGAATTTTAAAAAATCTTCACACAACCCCGTTCGGACTAAAATATCTATGTATTGTTAAAATTCTTACTAACTTTGTGGCTAAAATACACAGAATTCAATTTTAGGATATGCAGTAGCATTTTGTTTAATTACATATAAGCACAGTTGACCCTTTATTTGAATGTTTTTGACTTATCATTATCACTTGGGTATAAATACACATGATTACATAACTTTTATGTTATTCAGACTTATCACCAGCGTTTAAACTATTTAATATGCTAGATGGTGGATTGTTAAAAATCAAATAATATTTCTATAAAATACCCACATCTAACCAGGAGAAATCCTATATATGGCTATAAAGAACCCACCTCTAACCAGAAGAAATCTCTTATATTTTTCTAAAGTACCCATATCTAACCAGGAGACATCTCTTTTATTTCTATATAGTATCAACATCTAACAAAGAAAAATTCTTCATATATCTATAAAGTACCCACAGTTAACCAGATGACTTATATATCTATAAAGTACCCACAGTTAACCAGAGGACATATTTCTATAAAGTACCCACAGTTAACCAGAAGACTTATATTTCTATAAATTACCCAACCTTAACCAAGAAAAATCCCTGATATTTCTATAAAGTACCCACCTCTAACCATTGGACATCCCTGATATTTAGGTACCAGCTTGAAAGGCTCCGCGTTTGGTAGATCAATGACCATCGCCTGATTCTCCTTGTCCCGGCAGCAGTACTTGATCCTGAGCATGGAACCATCGATTGAGACGTCCCCCACGTCCCCCTCAGGGCGGTTCTGATTTAATGACATAAACTCGATACCACCTTCCTGAAAAACTGTATGGAAAATATAGACCAATCAAAACATAAGTCATAGGTCTAGTCAGCGGTGTCGTAAACAACTGAAGAAAATAAAACCCAATTAAATTGACGACTTCATCCAAATCTAAACACATACATTTAAAAAAAAAATAATACGGAGCAGGCTACTTGTAGTGCTTAACATACCAAAATAAATGAGGTTGTAAAAAAAAAAAAAACAATCCTAGGCATTACTTGGTTCCCAAGTTCTTTTTTTTAAAATTTTTTATTATTTATTTCGTAGTTTAGAAGAGAAGCAAAAATCATCTTTTAGAAAACTTGGGAATTCAGAACTTAATACTTTTCATACAAATAGTTTACTTTTTTCAAATCTTAGAAAATGAGTTTTTTATCTTTCAATAAAATATACAATAAAAAAATTAACATAACATCAGTGCCGGCGCCAGGTTATTTAGCGCCCTAGGCAAAAGTTATTAAAAGTGCCCCCCCCCCCCCCCACCGCAAATTGTTCCGTGACCCCAGGACAAACTTTTGATTTGCACCCTCTCCTCAAACTTTCGATTTATACCCCCTCCCATTTCAATGTTCTTCCAACACTTTTTTGGCGCCCCCCCCCCCTCCCTACAGACGGCGCCGTAGGAAACCGGCTAGTTCGCCTTATAGGTGGCGCCGGCCCTGAACAACAGACAACATTTGAATAATATTTTCTACTACCCAGTTACCTCCACCACAATCTTGACCTCTTGGCTTGACGATACAATATTCCCCGCCCATGGGCCACGTTTTCCAATTAACATCTGCTTTGTTCACGGGGGTGGATTTCTTACAGCCCAGGATGTTGATGGTTTTATCTTCTATCGTGTAGTTGTTTGGTAGCGGTTCTTGCGTCGGCGCATAGGTCCCTGTAATTGGCAGTGTGGCTGGACTAGGATCGAATCCAGTGGGGCACTGCTCACTTCCATACAACACAATTTGAGTATCAGGCCAGGAGAGGTTCTTGGTTGCTGTGTTAACAATACATACATACATATATATATATATATATATATATATATATATATATATATATATATATATATATATATATATATATATATGTATATATATATATATATATATATATATATATATATATATATCAGAGGCGTATCCAGGTTTCGTTGTAGGGGGAGCGAAAAGAGCAAAAAAAGGCGCCAAATTTTTAACACGTTCTATATAAGTGTATTATATATATATATATATATATATATATATATATATATATATATATATACATATATATATATATATATATATATATATATATATATATATATATATATATAGCTGTATGTCATTAATTCTCTATGATGTAAAATAAATTGAAAGTAGCACTCTGAAGAAATAAGAAAAAACACACAATGTTGGCCGACAAAACAAAAATTGTATCAATCTAAACAATATATATATATATATATATATATATATATATATATATATATATATATATATATATATATATATATACTACAACCAAAAACAATGAACGTAACACAATCTGTTTTGTAATTCTTGTAAACAAAATTTCTTACATAATAATTCCTGGGAAATTATTTAAGACAAGGGAAATAGGGGAAATAATCACTCTCTTAATATAAATATGTATATATCTACACATTTAATTCTAAATTTCAAAACAAATAAATAATTACTTTAGAATATAATGAAATTGTTTAAGACTATTCGTGTTTACAAAATGTTTTTGTCTGTAATGAGAATTCAATATATCGTCATCATAAATGGTAAACTATTACAGCATAATTAAAGTTTTTAAAATCAGAGTTGGTATAAAAGCACGCTTTTCGTTATGTAATAGAAAAACGTTCGGAATAACAGCCTACATATAACTAAATATCGGTCTTTCAGTTCAGTTCATATATATTTTAATTATTAACTACTGCTTCTTTGTGTTCTTTAAAGATCATTTTTTTTAACATAGTGATAGGTATGGGTTAGATCACTGTATTGATTACACACCTTTTTACTGGTAATTTCAAAAACAATATTCACAGAGTTTTACGTTTAAAAAGCTAATTTTCTGTCGGCATGGTACTATGGTACATCATTACGCGTTCTTTACATGTACTTAACTGATCAGTTCGGGGTGGGTTGGGGGGGGGGGGGCTCAGCTTCATTCACCACTGTCCGTTCACTTTAGGTCAATTATCCAACCCAGTGTATACCTAAGTGTGACATTAATGTCGCTCTAACAATTGTGGCGGTGAGGTGTGGGGTACGGGTGGGGGGGGGGAGATAACCAACTCAGAGTGAACATAGCGTCAGTTTTAGATGACTGTTCTAAACATACATATATATTACACAAATATATATTACACAAATATATATTACAGAAATAGATTTAAATAAGTAGCAGTGGTATTATGACAATATTTTTTTACAGAGGGGTCCATGGGGGAGGGGGGGGGGGGTTGTAACTGTTTTATATAATTTGTAATCGTAATCACTATCGCCCAAACTGTTTCTGAATGTAATTTTTTTTAATTAATCACACGATTCAAACTGTATATATAAAGTAATTATGTGTGAAGTTTTATGTATAACATTTTCTAATTCAATTATTCGTAACCAAATACATTATACAGTTGCCTTAAACTTAACACCCCTTTTGCCAAGTGGTACTACCGTAAAGGTTTTTTGAACATTGCAATGCATCGTAATGGTTATTTTTAGAATGGCGAACTGATGCAGCTGTTAATACGTGCTGTAAACGTAGACACTACTAGACTAGTACAATAATGCTTAATTGCTGCATGAAAAGAAATCTTGTGATTTACATAGATGTGCCGACCAAAAATATTTTTAACAAATATCATTGTTTAAAACTGTGAGTTTAAAAAGTTTCCAAAAAGGCGCCACTTTGGTGAAAATGGCCAGAGGGGGAGCGGCCGCTCCCCCTGCTCCCCCCCTGCGTACGCTACTGATATATATATATATATATATATATTGGGGAACAAGATAAACTGTCTCCAGTTGTATAATGTTCAACATTTCACAGAGTTTAACTTTAAATGTTTCAATAGAATGAAAGTCTTTATGCTTTGTCTCGAAATTCGAAATTATGTTTTAAAATTTGTAAACATTAGCTTAACGAATTCACTATGATTTCTCTTACGGCGTAGGACATGATGCTGCTGTAGCTTTTATTTTTAGCTGTTTTTTTTTAAATTGTATTCTTTTAGGGTACGTTTTAATACAAATTTACTTGCTTAAACTGACCGTAACATCCAGAGATGTATTGAAATAGCCAGGACAAAGCCTAGCCAGAACGGCCGGTGCATTTGATACTTTGTGAAAAACATAAAACATAGCCCCCAAACACAGATTGTATTAACTTAACTCACGGCCATTAATGTGTTCTCTACAATTCGTGTTGTGATCCCACTCTTCCGGACAGACACAGCGACACCGTCCATTGATCAACGTGTGGTAGCCTGGGCCACAGTCCGTCTGATCGTTGTTGCAGAATTGTTCTGTTGGGAAAGTCATGCATGCCTACAAAAGTGACTCACCGTTACACCCGTCTTTGTGCATGTCTATGTGTCTCACTGTTGTTATGTAGGTCTGTGTGACTTACAATTTCACCGTTATCTATAAATGCCGACTTTACCTACCTTTGTGATTCACCATTATACACGTCTATGTAGAATACTATTACACCTGTCTATGTATCATTGGTATATGTGTGATTCACCAGTATACAGGTATGTAGCTTACTGCTACACCTATGTATGTATTATTGGTATATGTGTTCTTCACTATTATATAAGTCTATGTAAGTAACTGTTACTATGTGACATTGCTATTGTGTGATTCACCATTATACAAGTAAGTAGCTTATTGTTACACCCGTCTATGTATCATTGGTATATGTGTGATTCACCATCATACACGTCTATGTAACTTACTGCTACACTTGACTATGTAACATTGGTATATGTGTGATTCGTCATTATACAAGTGTATCTAATTACTGTTAAACATATCTATGTATCATTGGTATATGTGTGATTCACCATTTTGCAAGTATATGTACCTTACTGTTACACTTACGTGATATTGGTATATATGTGATTCATCATTATAAAAGTCTATGTAACTTACTGTTACACCTGTCTATGTATCATTGATATATGTGTGATTAACCTATATACAAGTCTATGTAACTTACTGTTACACTTGTTATTTGACATTGGTATATATGTAACTCACCCTTTACTCTTGTATGACGCATCTTCTTTAAGCGCCAATTACCTTTGCACTTTTTTTAATACATTTCGCCATTTACTCAAACATGCGAGAGACCTATAACCCTGAAAATATGTGACTCACCGTTGCACTTGTATATTCTAGAAAGTTCGCTGAATACCACGTGTTCCTCTGAGAAAGCCGGAAGCCTGTTGACGAAATCGTCCCTGAGTGGCGTGTAGGTCTCCTGACCCGTCAGATGCCAAGTCTGTTGGTCAAAAAGCCGCTAATTATTAATCAAGGAAATCAACATTTTAGATGTAGCCTACACGGGTACACAATGACAAAAGTACATTGTTATACTTGGTAGTCCATAACTCTATATTAAAGAAGATGGGGATTAGAATATTCAGTTATATTATGGAAGTGGATGGCTAGGGTTAAAACACAATACCAGGTCTGATGGTAACCATAGATTTGAGGAATAGCGTTATTTTCATTGGCCTTGACACAAGAAAATGATTGGTCAGCCTAATGAGTATCCGTTTTTAGTTTTATAAGAACTCTGTTTTTTAGGCTGATACTAGCATTGTCTTCATTGACTTTATTTAATTATGTCGAAGACCCAACTAACTAAACTAACTAGCGTTCTGTTTGGTTATCATTCGTCATTGCTAGCTCAATCAAGCTGTAGAAGGATGCTTGCTGACTTTACTTTTGTAACTTGTTTTCATAGGTAGAATTATGGCACGATATAGATAGTTTGAGCTATAGCTTAAAAAGCACCTTATTGTAATTTGTTCTAATTTTACTCAGAAAATGGACAATAAAATGTATTATAACAGTTGTAAAACTGTACTAAAAAATATATTGAAACACAATATAATAAAATATCCTGATCTTCAAATGTGAATAACGCAAGCAAATATACACAATTTCAAGAATGAAAGCCGACGTCCGATGTGTATAATATAAGGAGCTATCTAAATTGTGAATGTTGTATGCCCCTATATAAAATGTGAATTATGTAAGCATCCATCTAAAATGTGAATTTTGTAAGCATATATCTAAAATGTGAATGTTGTTTGCCCATATCTAAAATGTGAATTTTGTAAGCCCATATCTAAAATGTGAATATTTTAAGCACATAACTAAAATGTGAATAGTGTAAGCACATATCTAAAATACAAATGTTGTAAGCCCATATCTAAAATGTGAATGTTTGTAAACCCATATCTTAAATGTGAATTTTGTAACATCAAAACTGTGTAAAATGTGTACAATGGATATATTACCGCTGTGGTGTACATCATAATTGAGTACGGATCAAAGTAACGCGCATCTAGTGTTGGCTGTTCCGGGATTTTCTCATAAGCTCCAAGTAACTCTGAGGGACATAACACAAAATACAATTTCAAAATCATTTTAATTGGGAAATTATACTAGTGTGCTAGCTCTGAAGTGTGCTAACTCTTGGATGGGGTTGATTGATTGGGATGGGAAATAGTTATCGATGTAACGAAAAAAGGAAAGTAACCACCCACCTGGCTTGATGAGTGACGTGTGGATGCTCACATAGCTGTCTCTAAGTGGTGATGAATGGCTGTGGATGACCCCGAGTGAGTGAAGGATCTCGTGTAGATTTATCCCCTACATTCATAAAATACATAAATTTTAGCTATAAGTGCGTATATGTATATATATATATATATATATATATATATATATATATATATATATATATATATATATATATATTTAAATTCAGAAGTTGATCAATAAATGACGGATAGCAAACAAATATGCTGACATCTAACCTGAATTGTAACCGGACAATTATTATAAAATGTTATGTGACAGTTAACATGCTATTTAATACCTAATGTGTTATAATAATTTTCTGACCAAAAAAAAACCCGACATTTTTACTCACAAATCCATCACAAGCTGTGACAACTCGGCCTTTTGGTTTATTTCCCTGGCCATTGCTGGTTGCGCACCTTACATTGAAAAGAAAACTTTCTTAGCACGTTTTATTTCTATTAGCTGGGACCAGCGCAATTATAACTTTGATTAAAAACTAAATCAATTAAGAATAATTAAGAATTAAGATATATTTTAAACACAAATCACTTAATAATTGTATAGTTTCTTTAATCCATGGTTTATGATTAAGGTATATTTTAAACACAAATCAATTAAGAATTATATAGTTTTTAATAAATTATATGGTTTATGATTAAGGTATATCGCCATTGCTACAATAAAGATTTAGAGAGAAGTTCGCGTCAGTTTTTTTATATGCTAAAGAAAACTTTCAACATAAGAGATACAACCTACCCATCTGTTGTTTTTATCAGCATATACGAGTTGGTTTCGAACCCGTTGCTAGTGAACCACGTGGGATTCTCCGGGTCGTAGGTGCTGGTGACGTTTTTGAAAGTGATACATACACGGCTCGAGATGTGATCCATCACCTCTCTCAGGGTCACCTGGTTACCTGAACACATAACCATAAATGGTAGCCGTTAAAGCTTTTGTTCTACTTTCAAAGTCGATCTATCGTTTATTTTACCCGTCTGCCTAATTACTCTATCGGGTTTGATTTTTTGCTGTTATGTATGAAAGACTCATTGCAGGCAGGACTGACTGTCTTAGTTGTTTTGTTTGTGCTACGCAAGTGTGTACATGATAAGTGATTGTGTATCTATTACGCGACTGTGTACCTACAGTTAATTGTGTACATTCTACGTATTTGACGTTCTGTCCATTTCATCTCTCCGATAAACGCTAGTAATTCTGCCCGACTTAATACAAGAGTTTGTCTTCAGTTCATTCAGCTTTCATATGTTGTCATGGCGTAGATTTATTTGTGATTGGACTAATCGAGAAACATCTAATAAATATATTATAGAATGGAGTGTGTTCAAATTGAAGGTTGACGATATGATTCGTGAGTATTTGCTGTTATTCTAGCTTTGTAAAATATGTATGGTTTGTATATAATGCGACGGGTGCGGAATGACGCTGAAATTTAAAAGGACTGAAAGTTAGTTTTAAAAATAAAGTAATGGTGTAAAAACTTTATAATTCAAGTTGTGTTCTTTGAGTGCATGGTTATTATATTCGATAACCGTCATCTTCGATAAGGCCTTTACATATATTCGTCAACAATATTACGTGAATATCTATGTCATTTAAAGTCCCACCTCTAACACCTATGCCTGTATGTTGCTTTGTTTTATTCATATTTTATGCAACAATATAGTATGGTGTTGTAATTCTATATGTACTAATTCGAAAAACATTAACATATTAGAAACTAAAAATCAACAACACATGTGAGTTATAAGTGAACCAGAAACAGACACCAACAGATAGACACTGATCATGCTAAATGAAGCGTGTTGTCAAATCCATTCAATTGTTACATTTTAATGCCATAAGTTGACTCGCCTGTGTAAGAAACGTCGATGACGTAAGGGATTATGTTGGGCCAGGTCCTGGATTTGTCGTTGTACGTGGCCCTCTTGTTAAGGTAGACGTGCTCTATCCACTCGGCCATATGGGGTGAGATAGACCTGTAGGCAGGTAAATATATGGTCATCTTTCTAATCAACATTGGGGTAGGCGTGGCCTAAGCGGTAGATCTTTATGCTGCTAACTTGAGTTCGAATACGGGTCTAAGTCAGTAGTACGTATATAAGTCTACCCAGCTCAAATGGGTACCTAACGCTAGTTAGGTAAAGTAAAGTAAAGGCGGCTGGCTAAAGTGCAGACCACATTTTCCCTTTGTATGCCGAGGTCAAGAAACATAATATGAACTCTACTTCATCTGCGCAATGGATCGCTAGGTCTAAAGGGGATTCTTTACTTTTATTTTTTTTTTACTTTCTTATTGTCAGCTGTGGTCACGTTTCATAAAACCAAGGATAGTATAAAAGCTGGTACAATTCCACTTTAGTTATGTACTAAAACGTAAAGTAAATATGATGAGACAATGTCACTAGACCTGGTAAGACGTGTAGAGATGACAGTCACATTGGTACCATCCTCAGCGTTACTCTGTAAAAAGCATATATGATAAATCACAATCAGTTGTATGAGTAGATTTAATCTAGACTAAATTTCTTCATTTAATTCAGATTATAAGTGGAGCTTTATTTACATTTTTTTTTAGATATAGCTACATTTAGGCTTGTGTTTAGATTGTGTCTTCAATTTTTCTTAAAAGTTTTGTTCGTTTTGTAATTTAAGTTTACAATATTTTTTTTCTTAATTTATTTCACTAGAGGGCAATGCAGCAGCTGGATTTAAAATATTAAACATTCAATCTGTATGCTTCTGATGTGGAATATATTTATGCAATATTGTTTTGGTTATGCTGTTCTTGAAATGCATAACCTCTTGCAACATTTATTTAAATATTGAGATTTAAATTTCTTTTGTTGTCAAATTCTGAAAAATATATAAAAATAGTTAACTCTTAAGTTCATGTGAATAATTTTTTACGCTGTATTTTAATCCTCGTTTTAGGTTTTGGTATGGTTCCACCCTTGGAAAGGGTCAGGGGAGGTAATTACAATTGGGTTACGTACTAAGCTTACGTGAGCTAATATGAAGTGACAATGGGACGGAGTGGACAGAAGGTGCGATAATTTAAAAGGGGAATATGTTGTAAAGCCAGTTACTACAGCCCCAGACAGAACAATGGCATCACAACAGTTTGAGACTCCCTCTACTCTGTGCGTGTGATATCCCCTACATTGTTTTGTGTTCCTTAAGCCTTACTTTGGTTACACCAGCTAACCCAATCCTCTAATCCAGACCTAACTCAAGCAGTATCCCATACTTAACCACTCACTGAGTTTTAACTATGTCTGGTTAATCTCTAGGACTTACCTGATTAACATACGGGCTCACAAAAACTGGTCGTATTAAAACATTTTTTTTCATTCCAGGGTTTGTGATTTGGAAAAGGATACGTATAACAATATAAGGGTAGGATTAAAGATAGGCTAGAGATACAGCATAGATTTTCTGATAGGGGTAGTAATAAGGACATAAAAAAGAAAAATGGATAAGGATAAACAATATAAAAAATAATAGGAATAGGAGTATTAAGAGAGATAGGGGTAGGTATAGAGTTACTAGATAGGTTTTTTTTAACTTCCCGCATACGATAATCTCTTTATATTTAATTTTCCGATTATTTATAACAATCTAGCTTTGTCTTAATGAATAAAACAATAAGCTGCAAGAAAAATTTGATTTGGGTAAAAAACCATTCTATAGACAATAAGAAAAATAAATTCAATGATTTATTTAGCATGTGTTTATGTCCTGTAGTTTGATATGTACACATTCCTAAACGAATCTACCAGATTTAGTTTCACCAGGACATTTCGTGTTAAATGGGTATTAGATACGGGCGAAACATGATATTATTATGTTCAAAAACTCTTAGAAATGCGTTGTATTTGCAAACATAAAAAAACAACATAATAAACCTCTCTATTGAGTACGATATTTTTATTTTGACAGCCGTTTGCTCGCGCATTTTATTACGAGATCTTTACTGTGCATGAACATTGGCTTCCTCATAGATTTGGGAAATTTTTTCAAGGATCCAGCTATACGTCACTTAATGGTGAAACACGGCTGTCTGTTTTCATTTTAAAAATTAACAAAAAGGCACCAGGGAACAGGAATTCAAAACCTTTATATTTTATTTCATGTAAGCTACTTTCGCACAAAGGGAAAGGGGTGGGCTGTTAGGTTAATGCGGTAGAAGGTAAATGGTAATGGGTCGATGGTATGATAAAAGTGAGAGGAAGAGGGTGATAAGTTAAGGATCATGATGTGGTTGATTGTGATAGGTTAAGTTTGAGGGTGAACATGAGCATGGGGGTGAGGTTGATCATGGAGGTGGGGGTGGGGGTGAGTATGAGGGTGGGAGTGAGCATGACGGTAGAAGTGAGCATGAGGGTGGGAGTGAGCAAAAATGTGTGAATGGAGGTAAGCATATAGGTCGGGGTGAGCATAACGGCAGAGGGTGGGAGTGAGCATGAGGGTGGGAGTGAGCATGAGGGTGGGAGTGAGCATGAGGGTGGGGGTGAGTATTAAGGTGGGGGTGGGGTGAGCATAATGGTGAGGGTGGGATTGAGCATGAGGGTGGGAGTGAGCATGAAGGTGGGGGTGGGGTGAGCATAATGGTGAGGGTGGGAGTGAGCATGAGGGTGGGAGTGAGAATGAAGATGGGGGTGGGGTTGAGCATGAGGTTGGGAGTTAGCATGAGAGTAGGAGTGAGCATAAAGGTGTGGGTGAGGTGAGCATAAGGGTAAGGGTGAGAATAGTGGTGAACATGAGCATGGAGGTGGGGGCGAGGGTGAACATACTAATAGGGATGAGGGTGAGGATAAGTTTAAGGGTAAATATAAGTACTATGGTTAGGGTTTAAGAAAAAAAAACATATATTATTGTGTGTGTGTGTGTGTGTGTGTGTGTGTGTGTGTGTAAGGTACGAATAAAATGTTGAATGATAGATGTTTAAGATAGGGATATGTTGGATAATTTAAGGGGAAGCGTAAGAGCAATGATAAAGAAAGGCATACATTAATTTAACAGGGTAACTTTAGAGATATGTAAAGGGATGCGGATTGAGATTTAGGTAGGGGTGAGGCTAGATTTAAATTTAGCTACTGGATTTGAACATGGATATGTAAAATATACTTTGTTTACTGAATGGTAGAATGTAACTGGCAGGGAGCGGGTAAGGCCGGTGGTGATTACAGGTGGGTAATTGACTTGGTTGTATTATCATACAGGAATCAAATCAACCATTATCTATCTCTAACTACCACAATACAATAACTTAAATACAATAAAATCAGTACAATTGAAATATAACCTGGTGTGAAATTTTAAAATTTCTTTAACACCCCCCACCCTACTCCACCACCACCAACGTTTACTGTCTTTCTCATTCCCTTAAAACGCTACCATAAACCGAACGTCCCCCTCCTTCTCTATGATCCTGAGCAACAACTACAACAGACCGATGCATACATGTAACATCAGTGTGAGATTTTCACCTAAAACTCTTTTCAAGCACACACTAACCTTTTTAAAATACAATACAAAAATAACACAAACACACAACACAATACACATAAGGCATTTTTTAAATTCTACCAAACTACACAGAAGCACAATGCGAACCGATATGATTTGTTTAATTACAATATATTAGTTTGAATGTTTTAACCTTAACTTTGCTTGATGAAAGATAGAAATAAAGTTCGCTCTAGAATGTTAGGTTTAAACTTCAAGTACTTCAAACCACTTAATATTAATCAGTGTTAAACTATGGTAAATGTAACGTTTATTAAAAAGGAAATAACCTACCTGCTGTACAACGGCAGTGAAGCAAGGGACACAACAACACAGGAGTGTGATGAATCGTAAGCAGAACATCATCACAGCGATCATCTGTAAACATTAATGTCTGGCGTTCAGTGAACGTGTTATATACACGTATATATGAGATGCTAAAATAACCAATTGGATTTCTCATTGCAAACAACTTAGTATAAAAATACACACATATACCAAAAGAATTATTGGTGATGACCAATAAATGAACATACTTAAGAAAATGTGCGATGTTTTTAACTGAAAGTTAACAGAGCAAGTATATTGTAGCTCAGTTGTCTGTCTTGAAATAAAATTGCGCTAAGTTTGTTCTAGTGACAGCTTTATATACCTGCATATTCGCTGCACACATTACATTGAAGTTTTTTTTTTTTAAATTGATTAGCGTGGGCTTCACAAAGCGATAATTTTACATACTTCATGATTAGTAATATGATGGCGTAATCTCATTATTTCTGTCGTGTTAGATCCTTTTGTCTCGTTTTGCAAATCCCTGCCCTGTAAGGAGCAACTGTTTCCGATTAGCAACGATCCAGCCACTATGTAATCTCAGTCTATAATTCCAAAAAGGATGAAGGAAGGGGGGGGGGAGTGTTCAGTGTAATGTAACGATATGTTAAGATAAACACAAAACGTTTTTGCAGTAAGTTGTTTTTATTAGTTAAATTATGATATTGCCAGGGCAACCATAAAAATATAATCACACGTTTTTAAAAAACAAATTGCAACCTAAGTTATCATTATCGGGAAGAAAGGTAAGTTTACACTAACTGAATAATATCTATCTATCTTTTTCTTCTTCGTTCTTAATGTTTAGTGTTGCAAGGGATCGAGTCTTATTTGCTGAAGGGTTTGAACTCGAGACTTTTTCGAATTTATCAAAATGAGCTTATGCCGACTCGACCACGCCTCCATCACAATTAAGGATACGTGTCAACTGGTTATGCGCCATTGAGGCCATTGACTCCGATTTCAGCCTGCTTTTCTTTTTGATTTGCTTCCATAGCCTTTGTCCAACCAATAACAAATTTGCAAAGCAGCAGTTGTTTGATTTTGGAGTTGTCTCTCCTAGAAGAGTGGCCGTCCCCAGCTAACGAGCCTCATCTGCCCGAGGGATCGAACTCGACACTTTTCGGTTTAGCAGCCATTAGTGGAAAAAAAAAACCTACAAAACATGTAAAAATGTGACGTTGAGGTAAGACAATAGCTTTTATTCTTTTAATGCAATTTAATATTTTAATATTTTTTTCTAACTTTAATTGTTTCTCATTGTCAAAGTTTACTCAAATCTGTATCAAAATAAAATCTTAATATTTGTGTCACAATGGTCGTTCGAGTATAAGTGTTTACTAGCTTTGACAGAATTAATTTGATTTGCATTATGTAAGCCTATTATATATTTAAAAAGATTCGCTTATTTTCATGATACGTGTCTTTGTTAAAACTATAATAAAAAAACACACATGATGAAATCGTTTAATTCTAAACGTTAAACAATATGATAATAAAAGCATTTTTTAGACTTTAAGCATCATCTTTTATTCTTTCTACAATTATAAATACAATTGTGCATTAAAAAGAACTGTATGTGCACATAAACATATAAATTATATATATATATATATATATATATATATATATATATATATATATATATATATATATATATATATATATATATATATATATATATATTATATATATATATATATATATATATATATATATATATATATATATATATATATATATATATATATATATATATATATATATATATATATATATATATATATACAAACATTATTTGTCACACTAAAAGGGTGAAGGAAAAATGACATTTTTGGGAAATAATGTTTGATATTTCAGGAGCCTTCAACACAGAAGTGGGAAATAATTTAACAACTAAAGCAGTTTGCAAGGTTAGCTTACGTGGCAACTACTTGAAATAAACTTAATAAATCGTAGAAATACAGATTAGTAAACTCGGTTACTACTAACAACAAAAACATCAATTTTATGAAATGTTAAAAAAAAATTAATAATATATTAATTAAGCGCACAAAGATTATTATAACTAAAGACTATTCAATTCTCATCCCTGTTTAAAAAAATAAAATTGTGCAGACATAATCTCCATGTGTTTCATTAAAATAATTAGATCAGTAAAACACTACCAACAATTTCCTGTTAAAAATAATAACGACTTTTTATTCACCGAGTACAACATAGCCATAGCGCCACAAGGCGCGGGCTGGAAACGATCCGATGGGGACGACACCAGAAAAAAAATATGTCTAATGAAACAAGGTTCAATTCACAATCACCTTAACGACATTTGACACCGTGTGACAGCGTCGCTGATTGGGTTGACACTTTATTGTTTTAAGGGGTCATCCATAAATGACGTCACGCTTTTTTTGACGATTTTACCTCCCCCCTCCCCTCCGTCACACCACGTCAAAAAAAGCCAACCCCCCCCCCCCCTCAAAAATGACGTCACACCTCCGCCTACAAAATTGCAGTTATTTTTTTCTTAAAACATCGATATTTTTCCAAAATCTTGTCTGAACTCTGTCGACATAGAGTACTTTAATCAATTTCTATTACAATTTATTAAAACAGTTTTCTAAAATGCAAAATAACATCTACAATTAGTTGTCTAACATTGCATTTTTATAATTCAGAAGTGTGACGTCGCACCATTTGAACCCTCCCTCCCCCTCATCACACACCCTCACAAAATTACGGACCCCCCCTCCCCCCTACGAGTGTGACGTCATTTATGGACGACCCCTAATACGTCATACATAGTCGCTACACCAGACCTGGTGACCCCACTTGCAAGATGTAAACATGTCAAATTATTCTGTTGTTTTTATATTGCCACCTTGAAAAATTACATTATTTTTCTAAAAATAAAATTAAGTACTTTACAGGGTTCGATCACCATTGAATATATTTATATTATTTTTAACGGCGAAGAGCGTCTACATTTTAGTTTCTAGCAGTCCGTTGATTAAAGCAAGTCTGTCCTCATACTTTCTGCCTCCCATGCCCTCCTCATAACACATCAATGTCACAAAAGTCCAAAGCCATCCCATGGAGTGTGATGTTATCTAGGGAAGACTCATAAATGTTAGATTTAAAAAAAACGACTGGCTATTTAATCATACACTTTTTAACTGTATTGCATAATAACCACGCTACTCTTTATATAAAAAAAAAAACTTTTTGGAAGGCTTACTACTTATAATAAAGGTTTATTTAAATTTTGTGCAAAGAAATACATAAACTATCGGTTACTGTTTTTTTGTTGTTGATTTATTACTCTCTTACTTGTTTTTCGAACGGCAAATAAAACGTTCTCTGAAGGTTTTTGTAAATTTTGGACTAATTATAACGTAAATAACAAAATTGATTGAGGCGTTTAATTGATAGATAACAAAGACTATTTTGTATAAAAAAAAGAGGCAATTATCTGAAAACACCGTTGTTTTGTCTACAAGAAGATTGAATGTGTTTGTGGGAATCAAAACCAATAGCAATACACAAAAAGAAAGTGTTAAAGTTATTTTTATTGATCTGATATCTTTATTTCTCTTAGATCGGGCTCCAGATGAAGACATTATTTTCATGTTTATGTAAGATAATTTAAGTCTTAGTAAAATCAGTATTGTGCAAACTAATAATAAACATGTTGGAATGATAACAGCTATGGTGGTCGTTATTGGTCGGTAGTAGTTATTGAAACCATTGCTATAATAAAATTCAGTTTGATACACTAATGGTAGTGTGCTGTTGGTATAAAATACCCATCTAATATAAAATAAAAAGCAACGTGGTATATAGAATATTGCTACAGAAGCATAAATAGCTAAGACTATACACCCAAATTTGAATGGGTTAAGAATAGTTGAAGCTACGAAAGGAAAACACACAGCTATCATTCTTTCTAAAACTATTAAAGTCACCATATGAACACTAATACACACAGCAAACTGGTTCCACCCACTGCCATACGTTCTATAAAAAGCGTCAATGTAAACTGCGACTTCAAAATTGAATGTTAGTGTGATCCAAGCTATCTTGGCCCATAACAGTGTACATGAGAAAAACAAGTCGGATACAGCGAGCCCTGTTAATACAATGTTAGTCGCCTCATTTAATCCATTAGAAGCCAATATGAAAATTGTCATAACATTTCCGAGAATTCCAAATATACACATAATGGGAATTATGACAGTGTCTAAAATAATACCGGTTAAATATATGAAATCATTAGACACGTCGCACAAATAAGCTCTTGATGTTGTCAATGTTTGAGTTGATTCAATGCTGTTATTACTTGACAGTGCCATTATTTCAAAGTAAACTGCACATAACGATATTGCTATTTTTTTACCTAAATTAACAGAGAAAAGAAAGCACTAGGATACGATATGTAAATTTATATATGTATATACCTGTTTAACATAATTAACTTCTGACTTTTACACACTTATTATTTAGAGCCTTAAAAATATTTCTTGTAAATAGATGTTATTGTAAATGAATTACCAGCAAGTTAATATAAATAAGTCATCTAACTCAAAATACTATCAAAAGCTAGGATAAAGAAAAAAAACTATAACATTCAAATATTCCGAGGTCAAGTCTTTAATTTTGTTACGCTTCCTATTTACAATTCTTACTGATAAGCGCATTACTTAGAAAAGTTGAGTTTATTAGACACAACTGGTTCAATGTTATATAAAAGATACACTACATGCATATATTATTACAGTTCGTCGTTTTATCGCGGTTTCACACATCCGAGAAAATAAATAATACATTAACATTGTTATCATTGTTAAAATTGTTATTAATGAGAATAATTTTTAGGGAAACTTTAAATTAAAACTGTTAAATATTCATAATCCTTGCTGGACAGACAAGCCTACTTAAAAGTTATTCATTTGAAGTTAGATATTGCCAATTATTTCAATTATTTTCTTCTAATTATAAACAGGGATCAATGTAACCGCTGAAATTTACTACAATTATTCCTCATCAAGGAAAATAGTGAACATAAAATATAATCTTTGTTACAAATAGATAATTGCCGTAAAGCTATTATTTGAAACCTACAATTACATCTGATTATTTTCACAAAGATGTGCAACAGTATTAATCTCACAGTTATACTTATTTTTAAAGGCTATATTTTCCGTTCTTTACAATTACTTCAAGTTACTTATTGTTGAAACTAATTTTCGTCATTTTCGGGGGAAAAAAATATAAATTCAA